TCATCTAGCTCCTACAGTCGTCAGGTGTTTCAAAAGTCCAAAGCTTCAACAGGAAGTAGGCTGCCATCCCCAGCCCCCCATGCCCCTGACAACCCTAAACCCTAAACCCTAAACCCTAAACCCTAAACCCTAAACCCTAAACCCTAAACCCTGGGCTTCAACGACGTGAAAAATAATTGTCCTTGTGTTTTGCATGAAAAACGTTTTTTAGAACAACCGCCAAGACAGTAAAAAGGCATAGAAAGACAGGAAAAAAGCATAGAAAGACAGTAAAAAGGCGTAGAAAGACATAGTTTTTGCGCAAACGAAGATTCAATTGTTTCACAAAGACTATGTTTTGACAAGCGCGTGACTTTTTGTTGTCTTCTGAAGTCCAGGGTAAACCCTAAACCCTAAACCCTAAACCCTAAACCCTAAACCCTAAAGAGCATCTTCCCCCAACAAAAGCCTGCAACAGGGGGTTCTGCTGGGTCACCGCGGCTCACGGTCTCGGCCGGGTTCTCAGAGCTTGCAAGGGCTTGCTTGTGCCCGAGAGTCGAAACTCCCAAACTAGCCCAAGTTAACAGGGAAAACACCATTCTTTAAGGGAGAGGCGGTAGGGAAGAATTTTGAGGCACTAGTCAGGCTGTTCAGCTTGCATGTCTCAGTCGGCCCCAGATCTTTGACATTATAGGTTTGTGTTGCCCCAAACTCCCTAGGCCGACCAGGTGGAAGAGTGGGCGGGCACACACACCTTGGAGAAGCTGCGCGGAGCCCAGTCATGGCCTTCAGGGCTGCTGGAGCCCCCTCTCTCCCCCCTTTGGTTTGTGGGCTTCTGATGCATCTGTTGGCCAAACAGATGCACCTTGAGCCCAAGCCTTCCAGCTGGTTCTTAGTAGGGAATGAGGGAGTTAGGGCCGTATATATAGCCGTTAAGGGGTTCTGTAGATAGGGTACCTCATTCCCTACGAAGAGCCTTAAGTTACCAGCCAGCCTATTAAGTCACTGAGGAAGATCCCCACGTTGAGCTCCGCACTGGCCGTGGGCCTGGATGTAAAGGATCAGGGAGCTGCGAAAGGGTCTAGGACTCTAAGGGTTTGGGGATTCTGCCAGTTGGCAAACTCTGTCAGGCTTAAGTTAGGTTTCTGCCATCTGTCTAGCCAGGGACCTCACCCCCGGTATGATAAGGGTTACAGGGTTGGCTATGGGAAAGTGTTTTTTTTTTAGAGCTTGCTGTTTCTTCTTCGGATCAGTTGATAATTGGCAGATGTGAAAGAAGTGCCTTGAACAACACACACGTGCTGATGTCGTATCTGGACGACAGTTCATAGTACGACTACTCTACCACAAAGGGGGCCAAATTGAAAGGGCTACACCTCCCCAGACCCTTCGCTAAGCAAAGCCAAGCCAATGCCCAAACTAAACCCTAAACCCTAAACCATCAAGTTTTGGAGCAACACTGCATAGGCATATGATGTCTGGATTGAACACTGAAGAAGCGCTAGGAGGGGGCGAAGGGGTGTAGTTGTGTGACATCATCTCGACAGGCAGCCACTTTCCATTTTGAGTTTTTCCGGCTTGCCGGACACCAGGACGTGCTGCGATTTGCAGAAACCTGCCTTGCCGTACTTACAGCATTTGGGTCGGTCGAAAGAGCTGCAAAGAACAAGGGGAACAGAGGATAAAGGAGGGGAGACGCACGATCCCAGAGTGAATCCATGAGCTCATTCTACGCCATATGGGCTTTCCGAAAATGGAGGGGTACGTTTTTTGGGAGGTCCCTTTAGGGGGATTCTATTCTATTTCGGGTTCAAAAAGGGGTACCCCTATCTTGGGAAGTACCCATGTCACGTGTTATGTATGGGCTGGGAGTCCTGTTTTGTGTGTGCGGACAGCTTTTTATCGTCTCAGAGGAGTTACAGTATTCACGTGGCATGTGCAGTGCTTAGTAATCAGGCTCGGGCATTTTCTGCTACGACTTTGTTGCGCGCGGACCCTCCGCACAAAAGCCTAAGGTGGCCCAAAAAAAACCGAAAGGATGACACGCACAAATCGAGAAGTGTACCAAGGCAAGCAAAACCCGAAAGGCCCCGGAACCCGGAACTCTGAACCCTAAACCCTAAACCCTAAACCTAAACCCTAAACCTTAAACCCTACACCATCTTTGCCAGCTACAGGCAAGCGAGGAACTCCAGCGGCTTCCACCTGCAAAGGACTTTATAAGAAAACCCGCCTCCAGTCCTCGAACGGTCTAGGGCTAGGGTTTAGGGTTTTGGGGTGTTAGGGTGTTTAGGGTTTTTAGGGTTTTTGGGTTTTGGGTTTAGGGTTTAGAGGTAAAAAAGGGTTTGCGGGTCTAGGGTTTTAGGGCTCAGGGTTTGGGGGTATTTAGGGTTTAGGTTGGGATCTCCCCCCTTACACGAGCAGTCCATAGGGACGACATAGGGGGTACTAGAATCCCCATAAAGGACTGTCAGAAAAAGGGGCAGCATCCCAAGGTCTTGGGCTTGCAATGGTTTACAACAGGGTCTACAATGGCGTATGGTTTAGGGTTTAGGGTTTAGGGTTTAGGGTTTAGGGTTTAGGGTTTAGGGTTTAGGGGCTTAAGATGGTTTACCATGGCTTGTGGTGCCTTGTAGGGTTTTGGCCTTAGCCATGTGTGATTTCCTTCTTCCAGGCCTTGATTTCCGAGCCTTACGCGAGCCTTACGCGCAGAGGCTTTGGTGGTGCTGCTCGCGTTAGCCAAAATGGACGGGGTTTCGATCTTAGACTTTGAGAGTTTGCGGCTCTCGTGTGGAGGACATGGCAATGTTGCTGTCCACAGCGGGCGCGATGGAGGAGCTATGAGCATCGGACAGAACTAACGGTAGATCCAATCTTGTCTTGATGTTGCAAGCCTTCTGGTCTTCAATACTTTTCTTCGAGAAGCGATAAGGGCCCACCATTAAAAAATCGATACCCATACTCGAAGAAATGCTGCATTTGTCGGGGAGCTCATCCTAGTCAGAGTGATCCTCGCCCATTTAAGGGCTTGGCACCGCGTATAGACCCCCCACCCCCACGCCAAAACTCCACTTTCCACGCACTTTTGCCAACTATACCTTCTCCAACAGCATACCACCTCATCCCCCGCACCCCCGAATCACCAAGTATGTTCTTAAAAGAGCATACCACCAAGATCCCACCACTTTTTCAAACTTTTCAGACTTCATTTTCGCATTGTCAACCAGGACCAGCCAGCCACTTGCCCCCAAGCGTCCCAAATCTTCTGCAACCCAGTTTTCAACGAGCACGGCAATCCCCTCAAAAACTCGGCAGATTTTGCCGCCTTCTTCACCAGCCCTTTCAGAACTAAGTCCACCTCATAGCAGCAGCAAATGCTACCACCCGCCCGCCCTAGGATGTGGGGGGTGGCTCTATGTGCGGTGCCATACGGGTAAATAAGCGAGGATCACTCTAACTATCCTCGAAAACAATAGGGCCCTACAAGAGCTTGTTGCGCAACGGTCCACAAACGTGCGGTTTTTGTCAGCCGCTCACATGCTCCCTGTGCACAGAGCCCTCCTGCCAAGAGCAGCAGCCGAAGCCAGAGGATCAGAAGACTATCCGGATCTGTTCTGGAGAGCATCTCCCTGTCGTTTCTGGTTAGAACTCCGGGGGGAAAACCTAAGCCCTGAAACAAAAACCTAAACCCTACACCCATGCTCCAGTTCAGACCCGAGATCGACAGTTTGCCTTCAGCCAGGTAGGTCTCTCTCTGGGAGCCTTTCTCATATTGTTTTCACTGATTGGGCTTCAGAGGCATCCTATCTGGGGGGTTTATGATAACAAGGGGCCCCTAACATAACCCCCCAAATAGTAGGATCCCCCTGATAATAAGGACCCAACCATCGTAAACCCCCAATTAGGAATTCCCACGGAGGCATGGACTGTAGGCGTCAACCGCGTCATGAGAAGGAGCAGTATCAGCAGCTGGACGGTCTGATCACATCTTTGCAGCAAGCTTCCTCGCTGGGATCTCGGGTCATCTCGAATCCTGAGCCGCTCGGAGCTACCCTAAAGCCCAGTTGCTGGAAGTTGCTACAGGACTACAGAATGTTCAGCAACTTGGGCCCAAATCCCCATCAACTCCCAATCTTGAGCCGAGACCCCTATATATACCTTTCAAGGGATTATACAGGGTACCTCGTTCCCTACTAACCAACAGTAAGAGACTTAGCCAAGACCCCTGTTTTCTACCCTTCAAGGAATTCTATTGGGGTACCTCATTCCCTTCTAAACCCTAAACCCTAAGCCCCAAGCCCAAATCTAAGCCCTAAACCCTAAACCCTAAACCCTAAACCCTAAACCCTAAACCCTAAACCCTAAACAACCAACAGTAAGAGACTTGAACCGAGGTCTTCGGCAGGCAAAGCTCGGCCAAGCTGGCGTTCCATCCAGTCATCCTGGCAGGCCCCGCATGCGCCCAACAGCAGAAGCTCTTCTTCTTGTCCAGGGTTTCTAGGGTTTAGGGTTTCTAGGGTTTAGGGTTCGGGTTTAGGGTTTAGGGTTTCTAGGGTTTAGGGTTTAGGGTTTAGGGTTGTTTACATACGATGTTGCCTGCCCGGTTTCGCCCAAAGCCCTCCGAAACGAAGTGGATGCAGCGTTAACCTGTTTCTACTGACAAGTTATGGCCGCGCAGCCTCCAAGTCTCTAGAGAAATCGTCTTGTGTGGCCATGCTGCAAGATCTGCAGATGGCAGGTCGCACAGGCGACTCTTGCATCGAGCATACCACTCCTAGGACCCAGAGTAGGCCCTAATTCCCTCTTTCTTTAGGGTCCAGGTTCCCCCATAATCCCCTTTCAACGAAAAAAAAAACCCTTTTTACATTCCTGGGCTACTCTTGGGTCCAGATTCCCTGTGCAAGATGGAGCAGGGGTTTAGGGTTTAGGGTTTAGGAGCCAGCAAAGCCGCCGAAGTTGTTGATCAGCTTTGTCCCATGGTCAGCCGTTGGGGTCAAGGAGTTTGACCACCTGCGTTCGCCATGGCGTCTGGGGTTCATGTGGACCACATATCATCGCAGCCGCATGTGTCGCTTGTGCTGAACATTAAGGAACCCTCCAGATTGGGATCACATACCCCTCTCCATACTATAAAGAGAGTAGGGACCGGAAGCCCTTTCAGGGTTCATTTGCTCCCAAAGAATGTCATGATTGCCAGGTCTCCTCCTGTCTTAGCTTGCGTTGCATCATGTGAGTAGATTCTGAAGGGTGCCGTGCTCTAATTATGTAGGACCCAGAAAGGGACCCTAATTTAGAGCACTACCCATGTGCTGTCCTTCTCCGGTAGTGTCCCTGAACGGAAGCCCGAGATTCCTCAGCGGCAATACCTGAAGGTTCATGGTACTTGTTAACCAATTATAAACCTGTACCTCCAACACACTTATGGGCCCATTCAGTGCCCGGATAGGTTCTAAATACAGTTCAAAGTGCAGTTAATTATATATTTTGTTAATAAGTACCATGAACCTCCAAGTACTCGTCAAGGTGGGTCGTGGACGGTGCCGTTTCCGAGTCCTTCCTCTCCCTCGTGGACGACAAGCTGACCACCAGCGAGGGAACCGTGAAAAGTGAGCTGCGCAATGGGAAATCGATTACATCCCGCAGCCGCGCGGTTGCCAGTTCATTCCATGACACGACTTTGGAGTGTAGGGTTTAGGGTTATTTCCCTAAACCCAAACCTCAACCCCTACTAGAGTACTGCTCACCCCACAAATTTGCCACCTAAAGCCCAACACCTGAGAAGGTGAAACTGGAGCTTCGACTCACGAGACCCTAAATCCTACACTTTAACTAGGCAGGCAAAAAAAACTAGGCAGGCCCTGGGAGTTTGATATTTTCCTTTATTGGGTTGTTCAGAGGGTTTAAGGGCCGTCCTGGTTAAGCTCTGAAGCAAGGTAGGCTCCTTGGCTAGGTACAGGACCTCGGGGGTCGTATTGAGCTCCTTATACCGTGGTTGGCTTTGAGATTACAGAACCCTAAACCCTAAACCCTAAACCCTAAACCCTAAACCCTAAACCCTAACCCCCTAAACCCCAGCACGCGTGTGACACCAACAACCCTAGTACTCCTGGAAGCTGAGATGTCGAACTCCTAAACCCTACACCCGAGTTTGCTGGTGGCAAGAAGGCCGAAAAACTCCCTCAAGCCTAAACCCTAAACCCTAAACCCTAAACCCTAAACCCTAAACCCTAAACCCTAAACCCTAAACCCTAAACCCCAAACCCTAACCCTAAACCCTAAACCCTAAACCCTAAACCCTAAACCCTAAACCCTAAACCCTAAACCCTAAACCCTAAACCCTAAACCCTAAACCCTAAACCCTAACCCTAAACGCTAAACCCTAAACCCTAAACCCTAAACGCTCCGCAAAGCCGAGGTGTCGAGTTCCAGGTGGATGACACTTCGCGACATCTCTTCGAGACCGTCGCGGGGTTCTGGGGCCTGAACCCTGAGCCTCGAAGGGCAAAATGAACCCCAGGGGTTTAGGGTTTAGGGTGTAGGGTTCAGGGTTCAGGGTTCAGGGTTTAGGGCTTCCAAAATTGGGGTTTAGGGAGTGGACTGCTCCCGCAATCCTTACATGGAACCTTTTCCCGTTCGATGTTTCGGTTTTCTACGTTTCGTACTGGTTGGTGCTTTTAAAGGTTCGGCTTCTACGGTCCGGTTCCCCCCCCCTCCCCCCTCTTAGGGTTTAGGGTTTAGGGTTAAGGGTTTGCGGATTTGTTCTATGAAGGTATGTGGACCAAAGGAACCCAAAATGATAGTCCCGAACTAGTCTCGTCCGTATAAAATGTATAAACATAGCATGTGGGCGACAACCCTTTTTGAGGGGTTCCTTCGGCCCCACTGAGGAACAGCCTTGTGAAAGCTTCGTGGTGTCGGATATCTGTGGCTTAGTAGCTGAATGAGTACACTTCACATTTTTGGGGATACCATAATCTCCTATAAAGCCCTCAACCCTAAACCCTAAACCCTAAACCCTAAACCCTAAACCCTAAACCCTAAGCCCTAAGCCCTAAACCCTAAACCCAGCCACTAAGGTGGGGAAGGGCAGTCGCCCCACGTTGATCACATCAACCTCGATGACTTGGCCGGATGCGAGCTGGACTTCTTGGACCTCGGGCGGCAGAGCGCGTCTGCTGTGAACCCCAGGAGGGTGGTGCCCACGATACTTAGGGATACTTGGAAATATTTTTTGTTTAGTTTTTGGGGCACATGAATTCCTAAGAAACAGCTAAAGTTATATTTTGTGATAGGGTTCCAAGTTCAGAATAGGATATCGGTCGTCGTCTACTTCAACTCGGTTGGCGGTATACGGTTTCCGCATGCAGATGAGCTTGGAACCATTGCCGCCAAGCGCGGCAGGATCGTGGCTCGTACTGCGAAAGAACTAGCTACACCTTGAGTAGCCTTGTACCTTTAAGCGCAGAATGCCGAAGGATTGTGGTACATTTCCCCCTTTGTTCAGGGGTATGACGGTTACCCTAAACCCTAAACCCCAAACCCTAAACGCTAAACCCTAAACGCAGTGGAAGGGTCGAAGATCTCGGCCGAACTCGACATATGGCAAGATTCGACTACTATTTCCTTAAGAGCCCCAAAAGAACAAATCAATTGTCCCTATTGTACCTTTATATGGAAGAATTCCCCACCTTCGGTGTGGGGTTGTTAGAATTTAAGCTCTTCTCTTCGCCCGGAACTCTTCTCCTCGCCCGGTCTACTCCTAGAAACTCTCTGGAGTGCCCAACCCCAGAGACTCTCTGGAGTGCCCAACCTTAGAGACTCCCTGGAGTGCCCAACCCCTGGAGTGCCCAACCCAAAGACTCCCCAATCCCAGATTGGCCAAATTCAGAGTCTGCTGGAGTAACCCGGAAGACTCCCTGGAGATTGGGTGGAGAGTCTCCCTGGCCCTGGAGTGCCCAACCTCAGAGACAAATATCGCCTGCCCAATTTCCTGACTGAGTGACGCTCTTGCAGTGCCCAACCCTAGAATCTTTTTGGAGTGCCCAACCCCAGAGTCTCCCTGGAGCGCCCAACCCCAAAGACTCCCTGGAGTGCCCAAACCCAGAGGTGGAGTGTGCCCGACCCCAGTGACATCCTTTAGAGTGACTCCCTGAAGTGCCCAACCTTACAGACCCTGGAGTGCCCAACCCCACAAACTCCCTCAAGTGCGCAACCCCAGAGACCCTCCCAAATCCAGAGACTCCCTGGAGTGCCCAGCCCCAGAATTTTTTTTGGACTGACTCCCTGAAATGCCCAACCCCAGAGACTCCCTGGAGTGCCCAACCCCAAAGACTCTGGAGTGCTAAGGTGGGGATGTTCGAAGTAAACTATTTTTTAAAGACATCGGGGGGGGGGGGTCTTTGAGGAATTAGTAGCAACCCTAAACCCCTTGAGAGTCGAAACCCCTAAACCCCTAAACTCTAAACCCACGATTCGAGGTCATGTTCCAGAACTACATCGACGACCAGAGGCCCTGTCATGACTCGTTGGCTGCCCACCACGGTGCCTTGACAACCCACGATAGGGTTTAGAGTTTAGAGTTTAGAGTTTAGGGTATAGGGTATAGGGTATAGGGCTTAGAGTTTAGGGTTTAGGGTTTTGGTCATGACCTCCTCACGGCTCCGCTATGCAGAGCTTCAGTCCAGCGTCTAGCTGAGGTCTGTACTTGGACAGCCTGCCCAAGCGAATCCTGGTGATGGGACACTTGGGACATATGGGGTTGCAAGGCTTTGGGGGGCCTGGATGCGCAGCAGGCCGCAGGAATTCCTTCACTTGAGAGTCCCTGGTGTGCAAGGGCATCTACATGGAGGTTCATGGTACTTATCAACCAATTACAGCTAGACTTATAACCCACATAGAAGCCCCTTAAGTGCCCCAATATGGTCATAAGTAGATATAATTGGTTAGTAAGTAGCATGAACCTCCATCTAGGGTCATGGGATGCGGGGACGGGACACAACAGCGTGCACAAAGGAATCCTGGCCAATGAGACGCCAAGCTTCTTCCCGAATGGGCCGGCAGCGGCGTCGCCGACGCGCAGCTTGATCTACTGCCCCGGCACGGAGCAAGATCCTCTCCGCCACGATGCCCCATCTTATGACTGCCGCTTGCCCTGGCACTTCATGCTCCTCCTGCACCCTAAAGCCCGAAGCCCCAGACCCGAAACCCTAAACTGTCCTTTCAGAGTGGAGCCTACCGGAGCCTTGCATGCTTGTGCTAGCGTGAGAGTCGAAACCCTAAACCCCAAACCCCAAACCCAAACCCTACTTGGAGGTCCATGGTACTTGTTATCCAATCATAGATAGCTGTACTTATAACCGACTTACAAGCCCCTAAAGTGCCCTAATATGGCTATAAGTACCGTTATGGTTGGTTAATAAGTACCATTAAATTCCAAGTAAGCCCGAGTCTTAAGGTGTGCAGGGGCGCCCGCATCTCACGAGTAGCCCTAGATCAACTTCAGGATCTCCTGCTTGAAACCTTATATGTTAAGAACCCCCTAACACCTTTTTGCTTCGAAGGGTTCCTTATAAGAATCCCGCTAGGGGGTTCCTATACTAAGAACATGTAAAAAAGTAGCCTTGGGATCCAGAAGGGCCTTAAGAACCCCAAGAAAACCACTTTTTTGAAGGGTTGCCTATAAGAATCCTGTACTTAAAGGGGGGTTTTGTTACCTCAAGAACCCCCAAAACCTACTTTTTGAAGGGTTACCTATGACAGAGTTCTATAATGGGTTTTTCCTGCTAAAAACCTACAAAAGAAGTAGGTTTTGGTTTCATAAGGGTCATAAGGTAGACCTGTCCAGCTGGAAAAATCTTAGAGCCCTTCAGCTAGGTAAACCCTGAGGCCTCAACACCCTCCACGTAAAGCCTGAAACAACCCCAGTTCAAGCCGCACCCAGCCCTGACTCTACATCCCAAAAGCGTTCCGGCTCATGGTTTCCCGAGGCACCAAGCTAAAATAAGGAATGCAGTAGGGTTGTTATTTTTGGTACCTTTACGGCTTGGGCAGGTTGGTGAGGTGCTATTGTATGAAAAGCATAACTTCGCTGTGGCTGTCCGGGCTCACAGATCTGAGTGTGCCAGGCGGGCACACAGTCAGGAGCACCAGGAGGGTGCTAGTAGAAAGGAAGCCTGGAGGGGCTTCCTTTTCTTCAGGTTGCCTACCTGTTGTAGGCCCCACCTTTCTGCCAGTCAGGCTGCATCCTTCGAGCCATGGACCTCAGACGTTTGGACGTGGCCAGACAGGAGGCTCTGGCGCTGGATACCTGGATGCAAAGCAATGGGCTCGAGGATGAATCCGACCTGGCGTTCTTCTTCGACAACTATGCCACCGCTCTGCAAGAAGGGGGTCGCCCTGTAGCAGAAGCCTGGCAGGCAGCCAGAGCTAGAGCAGAGGCCATGATGCCTGGAGTGGGCAGACGGATGGTCATGGTCGAAGATGCTTTGGTTACTCAGCAGATGGCCAGTCAGGCTGCCGCAGCCAGTCGGGCTGAGCGGTCTCAGCCCTCGAGGCCCCAACGTTCCAGGAGCCCGCGACGACGAGCACGGGAGCGTGAAGTTGGCAAGCCTCTTCGGTCACAGGAGGTGGAGCGGGAGGCAACTACTGGGGAGGTGGAAGACATGAGCAACCGCACCTTTGCCATGTTCTTGGCCTTGTCGAGGCACAGGCCCTCCTCTACCTTGTCCTTGCCAAAGGGCGAGCAGAGGGCCAACCTGCAAGAACTTTGCAAGGCCCTCTTGGAGCGAACGGAACCGCCCACTTTGCGAAGAGCACTGCGAACTTACGATGAGCTGCGAATGTGGGCAGCTGGCCTTGGGGAGTCGCCCCTTGGCTTGTCTGCTCACCACTTTCCGTCTTTCACAAGGAGCAGCCAGGGGCCTAAGCGAGCGGCGGTGGCCTTGCGGTGGATCCGCAAGAACTTGGAGGTGGACTGGGACCTTGGCTTGCTCCCCAGGCCCAAGGCCAAGGGCGACAGGTATGGGCAGGGTGCGCGGCAGGCGGCCGTGCTTGTCCCCTTGCTCATCCGTTCCTTGGATACGTATTTGGGGGCCGAGGACCCAACCACGCCTGATTGGGCAGTGCTCTTCGGTGCCTATGCCATGGTCTTTGGCTGCGTCAGGTTCCGACACCTTCAGCGATCCAGGCTGGTTAGCTTCAGCGGCTCGGTCCTAAACTTCTGGTGTTCCAAGGGCAAGACCATCGGCCAGCGCAACGGCTTCCGATGGAGCCTGCCCCGCTACACCTCGCATGGGGTTGACCTGGCCGTAGTGTTCCAGAAGTCCCGAGCTAAGGTCCGCCAGGATAACGTCATGAACTTTGCACTGGTGGCAATGCCCTCTGGCAAGATTGGTGTCCACGCCTTCCAGATGAGGCTCCGCGCGGTGTTGCATGCCATGCTGAACAAGCCGGAGCAGTTGGTCACCTACAGCCTACGTAGAGTCAATGCCACGGCGGCCGGGATGGCCGAGCTGGGAGAGCCTGACAGGCTCGCGCTTGGGGGGTGGCAGGATGCCGGTAAGGTTAAGAGCACCCCCTTTCGGTACGATGCGGCAAGGGCGATGCGCGAAATCCACTTGAAGCTGGCTATGCACAACACCCTCCTGAGCACTGAAGCTGAGACATGGGAGGAGCTTCAGGCAACCGGCTATCCGCAGGTGTTTGCTGCTTCGTTGCGGGAGGCCCAGGGCAAGGACCAAACGCTGCAGTGGCGCGACCCTCAGTTCACATCTTCCCCGTTGCTCTCCGTGGCGGTAAAGGCGTCATGGCTGGCGCCAAGAAGAGGACGACGTGCTCTAACCGGGAGTCGCCCGGCTGAGCCTGCCGGAGTCGCCGGCCAGCGAGTCTCCAGTCAGGAAATGCGTGACTACCAGCGCAGGCCCGTCGCGCCGGCCACGACCGCCAAAAAGATGGCCAAGCAGAAGTCTAGGCCCCTGACCAAGCGGGCGCTCCAGAAGCCAGCCAGCCAGGCGGTCAACGTGGTTCTCAAGCAAGGGCCGGGCAGTCCGCGCGGCCCGCCGGAGGCTCCGGCAGAAGCAGCGCCAGTCAGGCGCGGGTCCAGTCAGGACCTTGACAAGGCGTTCGACGCACTGGCAGGCCGTCGTGAAGATGTAGTGCCGGCCACGGTTTGCTATGCCATCACGTCGACGCCTGGAACGCTGCTCTCAGAGGACTCTGTTGTGGAGGCGGTTCTCCTGTTGGGAGGCATGCCTGCGTCCAACGACCCTGCTCTACGCCAGCACCGAGTTCGCCTCTTCGTCAGTGCCATGGACAGACTTGCCGACACCGTGCCCAGCCAGGTTCACGCCATCAAGGTCACGGTAAGCCATCAGGGGCGAGAACGGGCGGCCGCTTGGAAGGCAGCCCTGCACACAATCCGTTCCACCTTGGCCAACGGCGAGTCTGTTTTGGTTCACTGTGTGGCAGGCAAACACCGCTCTCCCATCTTAATGGCCACATTTCTCGCGCAGTTTCGCCGGGTTCCCTTCGAAGAGGCCTACAAGTACGTGCAGGAGACACGGCAGGGGGTGGAACCGTGGAGAGTCCCAGCCAAAGTACATGCGTGGGCCGAGTCCACCTCTCACTCTTGGGTTTTCGACCAGCCCAAGATCCCCGGTAAGCCCCAGCTCCTTCGCAGTCGGCGGGGACACCGAGCATGGCACATGAGTTTCCCGCCGTTGCAGGAGGGAGGCCAGCCAGAACCCGTCTGCCTCTGGCGGCAGCGACCGACCTCGCATCGCAGTTCATTCCAAAGTGGTGTAGATGCGGCGGTGGATCCCTTCGAGGCGGCGGCCTACGGTGATACTGGGACGCTTGCGCTTTGCCCAACTTGCGCTTCGCTTTTCCCTGCATCTTGGATAGTGGCCCTCAAGGACATCACCGTGGTCGATAGCTGATGGGCTGGCGTTGTTTGCGCCGACAAGGTCCTGCCAAGGCCTAGCCTAGCCTTAGCCTGGTCAGGGCGGGCTTTTCTTTTGGGCCTGAATGGCCCCGCTGAGATCCGTCAGTCAGATGGAAAACAGGTCAGTGTGTGCGTGTTGTCAGATACCGCAGAACTGAGTTGTAGGGCATGGCATGCCTGCTGTCAGCTGGGTAGAGGGGCCTGTGTCGTAGGTCGTACACGCGCGCTGCCAGGCAGGTAGTAGGGCATGAGTCATAGGCTTTGACTTGCAAGAGCTTCTCTCTCTGTGGCTTTTGCAGGTAGGAGACCTGTAGGACTGCAAGCTGCACCTTCTCTTTCGACCCCCCCCACTTTCCTTCTCAGCTGCGCAGAGCTCAAACTGGTTAGCCCTTTTTCGTCTGGCCAGTGCCATGGACGCCAATAGCTTGGACGTCGCCAGCATGGACTTGGCCCAGCTCATGGCCTTGCTGCTTGCGGTCGTGCAGGAAGTCCATCGACGTCTTCAACTGCGTGGTTTCGGGGAGTCTCCTCGAGCGCTTCCAGCCTCGACTCCCCCGCCGTGCACTTGGCTATGTTGGTGCGGCCTCCCTTGTTGCAGAAATCCCTACGAAGACCACACTCATCACCGGTGTGAAGGGCACGAGGCCGAGAGATATCAACAACGCAGAGCTCTGAGACGGGGCGGCCGTTAGGAAGTAGCAGCTTCCAAGCGCTGTCTGCGCAAGCTAAAACAACGTAAGGCTGCGTGAGCGGTTGCCTGCCCGATGCCACGCTGCCAGCTGTTTGTTAAGTGTTTGTACGGTTGTGTGTGGCGCGCACAGTTTGGCTTGCTTGCCTAGACCTTGCAGTATGCCGGCCCCCCCTGCTCCTTTCACAGCCATGCAACGACCAGTCCCAGTCGAGAAGGAAACGGCCCAGGCCACCTTTGAGGAGCTGGGAAGGCAGTTCAAACTAGAAGAGCAGGTAGTCAAAAAGATCCTTGATGTGGGCATGACCTCCCTCGCCGAGTTTGCGCACTCCGTCAACAACGAAGAAGAGCTCAGCGGGGTCTACCATCAAGGCCTCACCCTCACCAACGAGCGAGTGCAGGTCTCCAGACTGAAGTATGCGTGGAACACGGTCAAAGCATACGAGAAGGTGATCGCCGACCAGGCAGTGTCCAAGGCGGTGACGCCTGACACAGCCGAGGAGGAGGACGCCC